CTTGCGGATTGCTAAAGCAGGTAAGCTACACTATTTTTGAAGAACCTTATTTACCTTTGGCAAAAGAGCTGACACATATTGTGTGTAGAGAAAAAGCTGCTAAACAGCTCGACCTGCTGCCCCCCTCCCCCTGAAAGACACAGTCATTCATAGAATTATTGAAATGAAGGATTATATCAAAAGTACACTGATAGAGCGCTTTAAGATGAGCAGATGTTTTTCACTGCAATTAGATGAGTCTGTAGTCGATTTGGCCAATTTGCTCGTTTACGTTAGATACGAGTTTGAGGGCATGTCCCATGAAGACTTTCTGTTCTGCGTACCACAGTTTGAGAACCACTGGTATAGAAAACCGTCGCGAATGTGCTAAATTGGTGTATAACCAGGCCCACCTCTTTACCGTCCCAGAATGTGCTAAAGTACTGTATAGTATGTATGGTTAAGAGACATAAGCAGCCCTTCATTATATGATAATTAAAGTATTAATGCATTGGCTTTAATTTAATTAAAGTAGCATTGATCAATTAAAAGAAACAACAGTAATCACAAACTTGTAGTAAAGAGCTAAAATAAACATGAATCCTAGTCCAGCTTGTACTTTCACTCCCACCATAATTGTAACACCCAACTAATAAAATGACCATGAAATGGAAAAATGAAATGAAATGGTAAACTCATTCAGTATGGGTTAGTGTGCCTGTAAAGTCAAATGCTGGATAGTGGGTTCTTGGACAAGGAGAAACAATAGTTAAACTGGGAGAACCTTCAGCTTGGTTTCACCATGCTCTCCATTTCTTCCATACAAGACCCCGTCAGCCAAACCAAATCGCTAATTTGCTTTTTGTGACTGTTAAAAGTTTGCAGATGAACCTTCTGTATTAAAATCAGATTTGAATGCATTTCCCAAAATGTAAAATGTTTAAATTCAAACTGCATATCAATCAGGTATTTTCACTGTAGTAATAATGCATATTATGTATATTAGGAGTGCATAACTGAGCATTAAAAATATTTAGCACTTCTTGCACTATATAGAAAATGTACACTTTGATATAAAAAATATAGATATTGTAAAAACCTGAGATGAAGAAAAATTCAATGAATAAGGCTGAAATTTTAAATACAAAATCAATTCCTGACCGATATTCTCTTAAATGCAAATTGTAAATGTTAATTACACAACCCCTATAGTAAGGGAATACCAAGCATGTATTGTGTGCATGTATTTCTTTGTTACTTGCATAGTAATATAACAATGTAATTAACAAGACAGTAAATTTTAAAGATGAAAAGATATTTACAGAAACAACAAAACATTAAAAACTTATTAACAAAAACTGAGTACCTGGGCCCAGGCTTTTTCAGGATCAAGAAACAGATCTCAACCCAATGAGTCACAAATGCCATTTAAAAAAAAAAACCTGTTTCTTATAAAAGAAAATACCCTATGCAGGATTGAATATATCCTAAATGGATTTTAAACAAATCAGGACCTTTCTTCCTTTTCCAAATAGTACATCAAAATGAAAGAGATTTAGTGCCTCAAGAAATCTCTAATTATAGACACAACTATTAGACTTTTATAACTATTAACTTTTATAAACTGTAAAATTAGTTTTATGCAAGCCAATGGTTGTATAATCAGGAATATTTCTGTAGTCTGGACTGCTAAAGCAGGAACTTGCTCACAGTGCATGGCAATGAGTTAAATATTCCTAAAATTGCCTAGCCACCTGATCTGTTTCCAAGATAACAACAACTGTGACCTACAAAGTTGTCTACAAAACTCCCAAAGTCAAAGAATGCCACAGGAATTTCCAACAATTTTCTTACCTTAAAGATAAGAGTCACTGTTGGATGTTGCAAACTTCTTTTTTTATATTTTGTGCTACTGCTTTTAATCTGCAAGGATATCTTCCTGTCAAACTATATTAAATTAGTTATGACCTTAAGTTAAAAGAAGATTTAAAATAGCATGTGTATAACCTTACAATAAAAAAACTCTTTTTGGGTTAATGGTATGGAATGACTGGGACTTCATTACTACATTTGTAACATATAATAGCCTTTTGTCAGTGTTAATCATTTTTTTTCTTTCTAGATTGCTTTTTGGATTTAAACACTACCCGATTTGTAGTATATTAATAATACATTGTTTTTCCAAATCATAAAGCAGCATTTGGACTGACAACTTTTATCATTTAGAAAACCTCACTGAGGAGAAATATGTAAATGTCATATATAAAGCTTAATTAATGGGGCATTAAAAGGATTTTAGTTGTTGATCATTGTACAGTATTTTATCCTTAGGTTGTTTCAAACTTATGTCACACTCCAAATCCAGATATGAACTATAGGCTTGTACATATTTCTTCATTGCATTCTTCATTGTTTCCCTTTGTAAGCTTGAAGAGAACATTCTTGCTTATTGACGGTTCAGTGGGACTTCAAGAGGCAGACAGAATAGCCATTGGCATGTGTGAGGAGTTTGGCCTTCCCTATGTTGTAAGTAAAGTAATACAGTACATTATATGATCAACGATTTGAATAGTATCCAGAAAGATTAATTACACACTAGGTTGATAAAAACATTTGGAAACAGTTGTGTAAGCTATTGTCTTCTTTTTGAAATTTCTAAAGTGTGTTACATTCTTCAGTTTAGCACCCTTTTACAGTGCTTTGCAAAAGTACTATATTTAGACATTTGCACAGTTTTAAAAAAATTGTTGCTTTAAAGCTTGCAGTTATGACACTCTGCAGTTATGTGCTGTGCGTCCTAACATTAACCTTAATTAATGTAATTTTGTGTACCTAAAATAATGAACCACACAATTAGTTGAGTGGTCTCTGTATGCAATAATAGTGGTTTATATGATTTCAGAATGAATTAACCTATCACTGTAAGGTCCCTGTCTCATGTAGTGAAATTCTAGCAAATTTAAAGAAGCTATGGAAACTAAGAAGCTTTCAAATCAATTCAAGGGTAAAGATGTATAAAGCACAGATTAACAGAAGGATTTAAAACCATTTCAAAGTTCCTTAATTTCTCAGATTGTGGTAAAAAGTATTCAGACCCTTCCGTTGTTTCTAAAAAATATATGTGGAAAGCACACTAGTAACCTTTACTTGTTTCTTTGCATATCACTCAAAAACTGAGCAGCTGAGCAAGGGGAAAACTGGTTACATTTGAAAGAGTTCTAAGTTACTAGATGAATGGCTGTGATGGAAGAAAGTTAGTGGGTACATAATATCCAGGCCACTGAACAAAGGAGTATCGTGAGGAAATGAAAAAAAAAAAACTTCATGGAGTTTGCAACAAATCACATAATCGATACTGCAAACATGTGGCAAAATGTTCTGTGCAAGACTAAACAAAACTTGAAATTTGTGGTCTAAATGCAGTGTTACATCTGATGCAAATCCCACATAGTGCATACATGGAGTATGAATTATGCTAGATTTTTAGCTTTACATTGGTCCTGTGGTCCTTGGTCTTCTGCTTTCCATTCTGATTTGTTCTTATCATTGGTTCTTCTTTGTTTTAAGTCTGATAACTTCCTTTCCCACCTTCACATCTAAAAAGAGGTCAACAGCTAAAATATGTTTCTTCTTTCTACTTTTCAACGTGGAATAAACTTTTACTTGCTTCTTTCCATACAATGCATGCTGACACAGCTCCCCACGTCTGCTTCATACCTATTTTAAAACTTTCAGAAGCCAAGTAATCTGAAACAAAAAAACTGCACTGGACTGTCTTAAGAATAATAAATTGGCCCAGTTAGAATCCTGACTTTAATCCTATTGAGAATCTGTCGAAAGATGCTGTCCATAAATGATCTACAAGCAACATGATAAAAAATGAGCAAATCTGCCAAAAAGAATGGGCAAATATTTTACCAAGCTCTTGTGCAAAGTTGGTATTTACCCAAAAAGACTTGCAGCTGTAATTGTTGCCCAAGGCGCTCACACCAAATATTGAGTTCAAGAATCTGAATACTTCAACATATTTCAGTTTTTTCATTTATTTTGCACTTTAACGGTGACATATCTTACATTGTTTCTTAGATGTCTGCTGTTAAAGTATTCAAGTTTTTAGTAAAATGTGTTTAGAAACGTTTGTGTAATAGTTTGTGGAAAACTTATAGGAAGGATCTGAATACCTTTAATTCAATACTATTGAATTTAATTACATTTTCTACATTTACAATTTGTTGAAGCCATTATGTCTGTCAGTTTTTTACTGATAGTCTGTGTTCTAACCGAAGTAAAAACTATGTCTGTATTTTAACTGCTGGTCCTATTGGGAACAAGGCCTTGCCCTAACTCTAGTTAAAACAGCCTCTAGCTAGAAGGTGAAATTATAGAGTAGCCATCCAAATCAGTATTCTTTTTATTCAGTATTTTAAGTATCACTTAAGGTTGCTGCTAAACAGAGGCATCTGTGACCTCAATATCCCTTAATATAGGCAAGACAGAATACATTCTGCTTTCTGGAGCAATATTGAACTTGTTCTTTAAAGCTTCCAACTCAGATGAAATATGACTATTGAAATAATTATGAAATGCGTTGTTTCATGTATTTTTAAAATATTTAATGGCATTCAATTATTAAGCACTTTAAATATAGCTGAGATTATGGGAGAAGAATTGTAAGTTAGCATGCCCTCAAACTGTGTGTGAAAGGTTTCAGATATGAGGATAGTTGCTTCAGTATCTGATTTTGCAACTGTCCAGAAGGTAGCATTAAAGCACTAGATTACTGGGCAGAGAAATGTCTTAAGTTGTTGACGTTTAAAAAACATGTTGTGTTCTATTTGCCTATCCTATTAGGATATTCATATTTATAAACTTTTTTTAAATGTTCTTTTCAGTTTTGAAACCTCCATAAAACATTACTATTATCATACAAATATCTGCCAAGTTATTATACAAATATACACTTTGTAGACATGCACAAGAGAAAAGACCTGCTTCCTCATTGGCTCCTTCCTTTGACTTAAAATATGTAAAACAGTTACTTTCGTAACATGGTCTTTCCTTTTAGCAGATTCTTATATCCCATAATACATATACACGAAAGCTATTTTCAGTTTGGAATTTGCCAGTATGAAGGAAGTGCAAATTATACCATACCTGAAAGATGATGAATTTGAAATGCAGAAATACAATATATTGCATTAGAAGAAATAACTAAACTTTAAAAATGATTTTGTTTTGAATTAATTATAAATTAAACTGTTTTGACTGTATACACAAGTATAGTGCTTGTTTAGCAATGGAATTGATCTAAATTAGTCGTACAGATGCAGCCATTCAAAATAAGCGGGTGATACCGCATTATTTTGCGGTGCGCTTTACGCAGTCTACCGCGAGTTACCGGAAATTCTCCTATAATACCGCAAGTAAAATAATAGTTTCCAGAATTTCCGCAAGGTGGAGCTAATAAAGCTCAACCTCTCATGTTTGAGCTGTCGCCATCAAAGTCTTTAACGAAGATATTACTAATAGTATTAATAATGAATGACCTTGGACAAGCTTTAAGTGTAAACTCAAAGTATTGCCCTGGTCCACATTCCTTTTTTCATTGACTGTCTTTGTAAAAGTAACACCACAGCATTTTGCAAACACGCATTTTGGGTTTGTGGGGTAGGTTCCTGACTCCCACGTCACATGCTGTGTGTTCGAATCCCGCTGTAGCCGTGACTTTTTTTTTAACAAACATTTCTTTGAAAAAATACGTTTCCCTGGCTCAGAGATCAAATAAAACTTCACTCGCACCAAACAAATTTATATTTCTAAATATCACAACATGATCGAATTTAAGTCATTTTAATAACAATGAATAGTCACCTAGGCGTTACAATCTAAACATTTATATTGATTTAAATCGCGTTTAAAACCCATAAATAAAGCTGATACTGTTTAGACTTTTAATTATTTAAAACTGTATTACAGCAGCACAATGCACAATGCAACGTATTCTTTGTCTTCTGCGTAATAATGTTCACCTCTCTGTCCAGCAAATTAACACTAGTAATAATTATGAACTTTATTGTATATGGCGCCTTTAAAGCACTTTACAGGATAAAATCAATAACAACAATACTGTTAGGCTGGCAAATGATTTTTTTTTAAAGAAATACAAAATGATATATAATGATGTGTTCCGGCTTAGACATTAACGAAGAGCATAACACGTGGGTGGCCAGCGGGAGTGCTGGCTGTGACGAATTAAACCGGTTTCACAGGTATTTTCAAAGTAGAAGGGGGCGAGATTTCCAGCGAAAGACACCTCCCCCCCTCCAAAACCAAGGAAGTACAGTACTTACTAGTTAAGAAAGCTAGGCTTCTCAATGAAATCGCTTTAACATGCTAATGCATTGGTGTAAAGTCCGGGCGTGGCAAGCTTCTAATGTCAACCCGAATACGTTCATTGTCTTGGAAGACAATGAACGTATTCTAGCCCTAAATGAATTAATAGCAAACATGGTTTACATAAAATACATTTTTCCAAGAAAGTTTAGCCTTTGTCACTGATGAAACCACTAAATAAAGACATATATAAAGAAATCTTAAGATTTTTTAAATACATGACCTTGCTAAAATTTATTTAAAAATAAAAACGATTAAAAACGCCAGCGGAGAGAGAGAACAGGGGAGGGGTGTTGGTTTTGCATAATAGGCGGAAATATAAATTTGTTATTGGCTATGGAAATAAGGTCTATTTGGGAATGTGGAGTTACATGTTCTGGCTGTTTGTGAATTATCGTTGTTGAGTATGGAGTATTGAGGCAAAATGCAATTTAGCGCTTTCTGGCAAGAGGAGACCCCCAAATTAATAATGTAACATGCTATTGTTTGTGCATGAACATAGTTACTGTATACTGTTATTTCTTTAGATACGCGATTCCATGTTATTTTTTAATCCCTGGCGGGACTGGAGTCCATAAGAATCGAGTAATAGGTTTCATTGCGCTTTGACAGATAGTCTTTAAATCAATTGTTGATTTAAAGGTTGACAGTAAATGTTTATATTGTAATGCATACTGTACAGCCTCCATTTCTCTATAAAAATCTAAAAGATCGTTTGCGCAGCCTAAGAGGGGGGTGAATGCATTACAATAGATTAGCATACTGTAGAGGAACACAGTATAGGCATCGTTGATATGAGGACTTTTGAAACCAAATTTCCCAAATTTAATATGTGCTTTTCTATATTTATTGTCAATTGATTGTCCATAATATTGCTATTCTAAGCAAGGAGCGCTTCACCCTGTCTGCTGTGGGAAGAGTTGGCTTATTCCTTCCCTGCCTCACCGAGGGCAGACCCTGCCAGGCCCTCGTCGACACTGGTTCGACCATCACCCTGCTGCGGCCTGGTGTTTACACTATTTTATTATAACATTTTTGATTTAAATCGCAAACGCGTGTTTAATTATATGTGTTTTTTTAATTGTAATCAGACAATTGCAACATAAATTGATACATTATCTTTTTCTTCTAAGTATCTTAATAAACTTTCAGCATAGCTTTCTCCCCGTTTAGATTTATTTTTCTTGTGATTTTGGGATCAAACGTGGAAGGATTAGATTGTAATCGTTTTTATTTTTTAAATACGTTTTAGAAAAGTGTAATCTATACTAAAAAGCTTTACACCACCTGCTATACAGATACATATTGTAATACTTTCGGGTTTGGATAGGACGGTCACAAGAACTCAGACTTGCAGAGTTAAAGCCAGTTAAAGCCTTTATTTTTCTTCTCCGTCACCACCTGCTAGCCCGGCTCTTCCGCACCCCCGCCCGCCAACAGCGAGAGCCAACACACCGCCCGCGCGCCTGAAAGAGAGAGTAAGACCCAAGAGTGCAGAAGCAGGGAACTATTTACAAGGAAAACGGATACCTCCCCAGACTACGCCCGCTTCACTGTGGGACAGCAGCACTGGTCGGCGGCCTTCCTGTCCTGCTCTTCCCCGCGCACCCCAGCCGGGCGCTCTTCGGCCTCTACCCAGGGCGAATGTATATTTAGATATTTAGACCCGGCGCGGCACCGAGAGAGCGTCTGTATTTATAACTTAGTTTTTAAAATTAGTCAAGCAATATGAAGCATCTCCTTTTACTTTTAAGTCCCTTAATTATCATTGAGCACAGCTTTCTCACCACTTAGATTACTTTTTGATACCATCCTTACACAAAGCAGAAACTTCTTGTAATTTCAGATGACATACAAGTGGAAAGATTACAGATTTTAATCGTCTTTAATTTTGTTACGTTATACATTTTAGGAACGCTTCATCTATACAAACACCACAAAACTATTTTCAATTGTATTTCTGAATGTTATGTTACACCTACAGTAGTTCACTGTTTTAAATACATCTAATTAAAAAAGTTAGTTGCAAGCACTTTAGATCTTTTTTTCTGAACCAGGGAAGATCTGATCATGTTTCTCTATAACAATAATAAAAACGTTATTTTACATATCGCCTTTAAAAGTGGCATCTCAAAGCAATACAATAGATGTAAACCACAGATTACAAAGTAAATCCTTGTAGATCCTTGTGATATTTCGAGCTCTGGTTGAAGTGTCGCAGTTTAAATAATTTTCGTTAGTTAGAAATTATGAAACACTCTGTTAAAAGCAAGGGAGTTTTTATGTCCGTTACAGTAAAAGAAAATGCCTGACAAAGTAGGGCTTGGACAGATTCCAAGTGCATTTTTGCATTTTACGTTGCATTGTGCATTGTGCTGCTGTAATACAGTTTAAAATAATTAAAAGTGTAAACAGAATCAGCTTTATTTATGGGTTTCAATTTAAAAAAAGTAAAAAAACCTCACTCAAAATGCAATTTAGAGCTTTCTGGCAAGAGGAGACACCCAAATTAATAATGTAACATGCCACTGTTTGTGCATGAACAAGGTTATACTGCTATTTCCTTAGATACGCAATTAAAAAAAATATTTATTTTTTTTAATCCCCGGCGGAACCGGGCATCCATAAGAATCAAGTAATAGGTTTATTCCATGCTGAAAAAAAGAAGAAAGAAAACACATTCCATAAGAATCAGCGCTTTTATATATTGCCTTTAAAGGTGGCTTCTCAAAACGCTTTACAGGATAAAAACAACAATAACGACAACAACAACTATATTGTATTTCATTGCACTTTGATAGATCGTCCTTAAATCAGTTGTTGACTCTTCTCTCTTTACTACTTGTTTGGAGTGACTGAGCTCCGCTCTGTACCACACAATGATCACCCCACAGTCTCTGCCCCGGGTGATTTAGGGTTTTTTGACAGAGGGCAAAAAACTCTCTCACTTGCCCTCCCCCCCTATGTATTGTCTGTTTTTTTGTGCTGTCCTTTGACAAAACTAGGCTCGCCAGATAATGTGAATCGAAACCTGTTTTTCTAGCTTTTAAAGTCGTGCGATGCAGAAACACATCATTATATCTTACATATGAAAATACATAATATAGCTCCCAAACAAACGCAAACGTGTTTTTAATAAAATGCTTTTATTCGCTCATAATCTGACAATTTCAGGAAGACTAAGGAAGGACTAAGGGAATTATCATCTGTTGTTGAAGCTCTGTGAGGTTGGTGACTTTGAGACCACTTGTTATCCCAGGTTGTTTGAATCGCCACAATTCAAATAGAGAAAAAAGAGCTGACTGACAAGATTTAAGATGTGGCTGTCAATGTTGGATTAAAAAACACACGTTGCCCGACGTTATGCTTGAAAAATAATTTTATTTCGAGAGACTGGATAAGTAATTCAAGTGTTTTTTTAACTTCCTGAAAAACAAGTATGTCTCTCTCTGTCTCTGTCTCTCTCTCTCTCAATTCAATTCAATTCAAGGTGCTTTATTAGCATGTCAGATGGGTACAATCAGTGTTGGGTATTTACTTTGCTTTGAGATGCCACTTTTAAAGGTGATATATAAAATCAAGGCTTTAACTTGCTTTAACTCCGCAAGTCTGAGTTCTTGTGTCTGTCCTATCCGTATTATTATCCGATTTAAATCAATATAAATGTTTATATTGTAACGCATAGGTGACTATTCATTGTTATTAAAATGACTTAAATTCGATCATGTTGTGATATTTAGAAATATAAATTTGTTTGGTGCGAGTGAAGTTTTATTTGATCTCTGAGCCAGGGAAACGTATTTTTTCAAAGAAATGTTTGTTAAAAAAAAGTCATGGCTACAGCGGGATTCGAACACACAGCATGTGACGTGGGAGTCAGGAACCTAACCCACAGCGCCACCGGCAAAGTCACATGCAGAGTGCTGAAAAAGCACTACAGAAACATTATCAACAGACAATGTACAGCGTGTACTATTCTTGTCTTGTGGTACATGAATATAATTATATCGTTATTAATCTCTTTAGATACGTGATTCCATATTATATTCCCTTTTAATCAAATTAATCAAATTTAATCAAGTATGCTTGTTGACTCCAGTATCACATTAGTTAAAGACTTTGAAGCTTAAAATGTTTAGGGAGAAATGGAAAACTGGTGTGTATTTTTTATTTAAAGTACCGAGACCAGCCATATACTGTTTGTTTAAGTTCCAAAATTAATATAGTTTATGGCCTTCACATGCGTTACAGTATGCTCCTATTCTTTTTATGCTCAGCTACTAAGATTTCCCTTCAGTGGTAAAATTCCATATAAATATTCAATGCTAAAACGGGCACAGTAAAGACATTTACTTTAAATCTTTCTATGACCGACCAACGGACCACAAGTGCCCCTGTTGGTCAACCAATCACATACCGCGGTATTTTGCGTTATTGTGACGCGCGAGGCCGTAGCCAATTACCTCTGGTATGTGTCTATACCGCGCACTTTGAATGGCTACATCTGTACACAATGAATGTAATGCACAGAATTCCACTAAGAGGCCTTTGTAATGCATTTTGAAGTACCAATGTCAGAAATAAGTAGTCCTTTCTCCAGGTGAATGTTATCCTATTAATGTAATTTGCTCTTGTATAGATTGTGGTGACCAAGATTGACAAGGCAAGCAGGGGAGAGCTGTTAAGGCACATAGTAGAGGTGGAAGACACTATAAAGATGCACACTTTGGGATGCTTTCCCCAGCCATTTCTAGTAAGGTATGTTAAACAGTGAGTTGTTTGTTTTGTTCTTTTCTTTACAGTAAAGCCAGTCAATACGATATTAAACTCTTAAATTTTGTTTGTAGTACTTAAGGATTTTAAAACTACTGTGATATTATTAGATGCATTTCCAAAAATCAATTTGTTTCATTGTTCAGAGTGGCCATTATGTATACAGGGTTCCCACGGTCATGGAAATCCTGCAAAAGTTCTGGAAAATGACAATTTATTTTCCTGGAAAAGTTTAGAAAAATGATCCAATGTCCATTAAGTTTGGGAAAAGTCATGGATTTTTTTTAGTTGGCCCAAAATTATCAAGGCTCTATCATGTAATTTTGTTCATAAGTTAGCAAACTTTTAAAAAGAGGCTGCGGCGTTACCGTTGCTAACATTACACATTATATTGTCACATCAGTCCCTCTTGCGGGAATTTTATAGTGAGCCGTGTCAAAATGCCAGGTAAATGTGTTTTCAGTGACCTCTGGTTAGCAAATGAAAAATACAAGCTATGGCTTCAAAAAGATTAAGACCCAGGAAGTGCAAGATGTAAATTATGTGGGAAAACATTTGATGTGAAGAATATGGGTATAACTGAGCTAGCAAGTCATGCGGTAAAAACGCATTGACAATGATAAGGCTGCAAGAGAAACAATTGGAATTGGCACCTTTTTCAACTCTTCTGCAGCTACAGATATGGATATCAGTGTCTAACACTTATGTACTTTCTGATTTCTGCAAGTTTTGTTGGTGCTGAAAGTAATTGATTCACATTATTTGCAGTTGTTCCATGACAGCGAAATTGTAGCTAAATTGTCTAGTGGTGAAACAAAATCTGCATATTTGACCATTTTCAGAATTGCTCCCTGTTTTAAATCACTGCTTATAAGAGAAGTGTCATGACAAGCAGGATATGCCCTGCATTTTGATGAGATTCTTAATCACGCACTGCAACTCATGCAAATGGATTTACATATGAGGATTTGGGATGGTGGAGAAGTGAAAAAAAGGTACTTACGCTTGGAGTTTATGGGGCATGCAACTGTCGGTACATTACGGAGAAAAAGCACAACACGCTCTTAGAGGGTGGAGTAAAATATCCATTGAGATGGGTCTGATTCACAAATGACACCTTTCAGTATTAATATTGCACGAACTATGTTCAGTTTGTCAAGATTTTGAGGTACTCGAAGTTATTCAGACAGAAAACGGTTTGTGTTTACGCAGTGAAGCATTTCAGGAATGAAAAAGGCCATATATTTTCCTAGCCTATGTGGGCTTACTGATTAGAAATGTTGCTAATGTTCTAGGAGTAAACACGCTGTTCAGGTTAAAGAAAAGTAATGCCATGCAAGAATGTATTTCAAATGAAAGTTTTGTATCTGAAAAATCTATAGCAACTGTAGACACTTTTATTTATTGTTTTAATTGTTGTTGTTTTTTGTACATATTTCCTAAGAAATCATAAGGGAAACACTCATATGATACACTATATTTGTTATTCTGTAAGTTGTAGTCCACATTTATGCTTAGTTGTATTTAACTGGCCTATGTAGTTTTCCTCTAACCAAGCTCTTGTACGCCTGAAAGAACTAATCTTCCAAATATGGTACAAGTCGTGCAGTGCATTGCAGTATGTAATTCACTGGCCAAAGATGATCAATAGGTGGCACTTGTGGTGAATTAGATGTTAGTGAAGCGATTGCTTCATTTAATCTCTCTACTGTGCATATTTAAATCCACTTAACATGGAATATTAATATGGAATTTTACAACTAAAAGGAAATGTTGAGCATAAAAATAATCGGAACTTAATATATCTGAACATCATAAATTATATTAATTTAGGAATATAAATATGTTATGCATACTGTATATGGCTGGTAAAAGTAGCTAAAATAAAAAAAATATATAGCAGTATTCCACTTCATAAACATTTTTGTGCATCAAAGTCTAACTTTTCTAACTCGGTCACTTACTGTGGTTATTTTGGAAAAGTTTTGATGTGCTCATTCTAACTATTAAGTTTCTATACTTTATAAAAAGCTATAATGTTTTAACATACAATAATTTTTGTGAATACTTGCTGTCGTTAGTGCAGTAAAAAAAACAGACTTTTTAGAATCTGCTTAATAGGGAATATAATATAGAACCGTGTAACTAAAGAAATTAATAATTATATTAATTTAAGGATCTAAATATAATATATATGGCTGGTAGTATTACTGTATTCCACTTTCTTTGTAAACATCTGCATCAGTTTCTTTGACTCATTCACTCGTGATTACTTTGGAAACATTCTGACCTGTCCGTTTCAGCTACATTTTGTAGTGGCATGTTTGATTCCCGCTTTGGACACAAGTTTTTCTTCTTACAAAGATTCCTTTTTTAAAAAATAAAATAGTAAATATTATGTACACTATGTTGACTTTTTAATTATTTTTTATATATCACAACATGTTTAATGTTAAATGATATTGTTTAAAAACATGAATGAGCAAATGTAAATACTGTCAACAGTGGGAGTAAATACCAGTTCAAACGGTTTAATTCAATTAACTTTCTTATTCAATTGCCTTTTAATGAGACACGATGTTTCAGATGTCAATAAATTTGCGAACAATTGACACAGAGTCTTCAAATCACAGGCATTTTAAAGATCATGATTTGTGAAACTTTTCCAGGTTTTATTTATTAATCTAGTACCTGGTTGCATTTTTAGTAACCTTAGTTTGAATATAGCGGATCCGAGGTGTAAGAGAGTTTAGAACGTGAGAATTACAGTGCAATTCATAAGCTGCTGTACTGTATGCGAAACAGCTGACACTATAGAACAGAATAACACAAACTTGTTGGGTTCAGCCTCTCTTTAATTTGTGAAACTCTTTTGTAATTTCTGTTTTTACTCAGATAAGAATAAACTAAATATTAAATTAAATGTACAGGGGGAAAAATGTTCTGTGTTTAATAGCTTTAAGACCACAGCACACACAGCACAGCTACATTTTTTATGCATCAGTTGAAGTGTTCTGAAGTTTCTCAAAAACTTAAAAAGTGTAACTTTTAGCAGCTGATTCTTTTAATTTTTTTAAAAGAAAATAAAAAATAAGAAAATAACATGTCCCTTCCTAAATTAGACAATGCGTGACTTTAAATGCTATAAAAACAGGTGATTTTTCTTCTTCGTGATCAGTTTAGAATCTTTGTGTATGCTGTAAGTTTTTTTTTTTACTTTTTAATTAAATGTCTAAAAACACTTAATGTTTTAACACTTTAATTTTGTAAATGCAACAAGTGGTGTGGTGTGAAGCTGATATCACTTATAATAATTCATCCAGATACACACACTCACGCTTGAGTCAATTTTGCCAGAAACAACATCCCAGTAAGCCTTTGGACTGCGTAATACTGTACGGTACAATATATAGTTAAAAGTTTTAAAATTTAAAGTTTAATTGTATTGCTGATTACTGGTTCCTGAAATTTGGAGGAACCAACTTGATTTTTTTTTTACAGTTACAAGTAGTGGTCTTACTACGTGTTCTTAGAAAAGGGTAAAACATAATAGCTTTTTATGAAGTATAGTATATAAACTTTATAATGTTAGAAAAAGCACATTAAAACTTCACCAACTTAAAGACTGCATAAAATATTTAAGGAATAAATAGTGGAATACTGTTGTGTACTTTTTTTATATTTAGCTACCACTACCATCTGCTGTGTGTACGTATGTATTACATTATACTTCAGTTTTAATTTTCCGCTGCCAAAGTTTACCTATAGATTTTCATAATGCGGATGTAAACCTGAAAGAGGCACATAATGTTCACAACAAGCTACAGTATAATAGTATAAAAGTATTTTTATATACCCAGCTGAGTGAGTTTGTTTTTATAAAATAGACCTGCTTTTTAATTAATTTAATATTTAACATACTGTAATACACAGTTTAAAATGAATAAAAGTCTAAACAGTATGCAACTTAAATTCTCTAATAGGCTCAACAGTATACAACTTAAATTCTCTAATTGGAAAAAGATTGTCTCAGGGGACTCAGCATTGTCACAGGTTCGAAACCAGACAGTTTCTGGCTAAAACACTAATGCTTCCATACACCATGTTAGGCATTCACTGCTCTACCTGGTGATTGAACAGAATAGTGCAGTCCAAAAACAGATTTTAAAAAATGGGTTGCATTATGGCGCATTGGAGCATACACACTGCAAAGTGCTGCAGTATCTGCCATGGATTATGAATGGCTGGATCTGTATATAAATACAAATCTGTATATAAAAGTGGTGATTCTAGGCTTGGGGAGTCACAGAGTAGCATGCATTGTATGCACTCTTAAAATGGTCATATTTGAGTACCTGGAAGAACCAGTCATGCATTTCATGAAACGGTTTTATAAATCAGTTGGAATGGTCATACTGTGGCCTTACTTACAGGTGGAGGGAATTACTGTTTTAGTTGAATAAAATACCTGCTACATCTATCATAAACATAATATATAAGTCTTGTTGGTTGACTAAAGTAAAAAAACTCTGTGGACTGCAAGGATAAATTGAAAGATGAAAGTATATGGGAGAATCATTATGTTAACAAGATTCATATTGGCTGTTTTACAACAAATTGTCAACAACTTCAGTAGGGAATTGATAGAAGTCCATTTAACGGAATCACTTGGTTTCATGAAGCACATTACAAGTGGAGCTACATTGGTTGGTTTTTTTTAATATAACATTTGCACTACTGAAAAATGTGTGGATTTTGTAGTTCTACAAAAAATACATTTTTCCTGAATAAAAATATAAAAGTCACTTCTTAGAAATATTCATTCAAGGTAGATGTGCTAGTGGGATAATTAAATGTTACTTCTGATTAAGTTTGCATAATATTTTTTTAGCTGGTACATAAAAAACACCTGGAAAAATTACATACTAAAAATGAAACCAAAAAATGATAAATGTAACAAGTTTAACAAAAAGATGAAAAGTCGCCATAGTATAATAAGTTACACAGTACACAAAGCAAGACATGCCAGTTGGTCACAGATGGTATGAAGCCACAGGGAAGAAATGTTTTTATGGGTAGAATAAAAAGAAAATGAGTCAAGAAGAAAAAAGAGGAAGCAGGGAGGTAGGTAAGGATATTAGAGTAACTCTTTAAATGTCACCTGATTTCCCATGGCCTGGATGTCTGAGGTCATTTCTCATGCTTACATTTCTGACATTGGCAAACATATTATTTGAAATATTTTGGCATACCAGCCCCATGTGATTCAAATTAATGAGGACAAAATAATGGAAAACAAAAATAAACTTAATGCTATCAATTGACTTGAACCTGACCCTTGAGCAGATCACATACTGTATACTGTATATTTCCAACAGGGTAGTATCTTTAGAAATACACACCAAAGTAAAGCATAAATTTATTTTTCTTCTGCAGTTTAAATATTTTTTTTACACAGAGAAAACCATTTTTTTTGATGAACCAGTGTTATTTTGTGTTTCACAGTTCAACCCAGTTCAAGGGAATATACCTTCTGCGATGCTTCATTGCCCATGTGACAGGAAACCTTCACCTGAAGTCTGATTCACAGATAAAATGGTAGAAGTATGTGCTGAATGTACATAAATCCTATCTGTTGTTTGTATAATTTATTCTTAAATTTATCAAAAATCTATATGCTAACCACAACTTTAGTATATTTATAATAAAATATTCAGTATTCAAATGTTTTGATGTCGCATCTTAATTTATGTCTCTGTAAACGGTTATATAAAAGTTAGAATTTCCCTAAGATTTCACCTTTAGTCACTCTCAAGTTTAGGTGTACTGTCAAACCCAGGTTAAAAAATTGAAATAAATTTCATAATCAAGAGAAAAGATGTGACATACTGTATACAGTATAACATTTAACCTAGTTGATACAGCCAGCCCCTGTGAAGTATCCCATCTGGGTATTTCCACATCTGCCTAACCAGAAAATGGGAATTTTGTTTCTCAACCCTCTCAGATTTTACTAGAAAATGCGCTTTTTGGATATGAGATACTAGTCATTCTTTTTTTACCAGAGAAACTCTTGTATTGGCCTCAAATTGGATACTCCTATTGAATATAGTTCTACACATGATGAAAAGGCTTTAGCAAAGAAAATATCAGGAGCCCCTATCTTACTTTTGATAGTTTACTAGACCAAACTATTTTACTGATAAAAAGCATCAGAGTTCCAAGAGTTTATTCTGGGATTATCCATACTTGTAAGAGTTGAATATCCTTCGATAATTGTTCAAAATTCTGATATGATGAAAATGTATCAAAGGTGATAAAAAACTGTGTTGCATACAATCATAAACACAATAATAAATAAACTGGCATTTATTTCTAAATACGATTTGTGTAGGTCTATCATTTTAATCCTGGCCCTAGACAACCACCATGTCTTCTTATTTTTTTTGTGGTTAAGCTATTTGATGCTGATCTATAAAAGTACTCTCAGCTCCCAAAAAGCTGATTGGGATTTGCGATTAACAATTGTAGCCAATTTATGAGGTTCATAATTCCCCTATTTAAAAGGTGCTTCCTGAAATGTAACTAACTTCTGGGATAAAAAATAAACACAGATGGAGTGTTTCACACACTTTTGCTCCTATTTGTGTTCATCAAGATTTGGCTATCCATCAGGAGCTGTTTGGTTGTAATTAGGACTACAAACATAAAAACAAGGTGAGGAGAGAGTACATTAACTTTAAACTAAGGAAAGAGTACAGAAATAGTTAAGCAAACAAAAAGATTATCACCAGTGATTTAAGAGCTCAGCTACAATGAAATTCAGCAAACAGAATTGTCCCCTAAGTACCCCAGATGGTAAGCCAGATGACCCTGGAAATTTGTTGTGTGCACTGAAAAATTGGGATGGGTTTTCATATTTTCTACTTTAATAAAATTAGTTTATGTGTCAAACAGGCAGCCTACGTACTATCCTGAGTGACCAATTGTATTTAGAAAAAGTTATCTCCAGCAAATAGGGAGGTAAGAGAATGTGTCTGATTTTGGAACAATGCCAATCTTGTAAGCACAGGAAAGAATAGAAATACATGCTACAAACGTAAGTGACTAATTGTATTTTTTTAAAAAGTTCTTCAGCAAATAGGGAGGTAGGAGAATGTGCATGGTTTTGGAACACTGGCAATCTTGTGAGCACAGGAAAGCATGATAGATAATGGAAAAATATTTAAGGACTGTTCTAGGTTAATTTGAGAAAAATACAATGAGCGTCTCTGTTTCGCTTCCATGCGCATTAAATAAAAACTTTTAACTTATGAGATTGACTCCTGAAACAGAAACGGGAAAAAATGAAAGCTTGCGGATTGCTACACCAGGTAGCCCCACACTATTTGTGAAGAACTTTGTTTACCATTGGCTAAAGAGCTGACGTATTATGTGTGGAGAAAAAGCTGCTAAACAGCTCGACCTGCTGCCCCCTTCAAAAGACACAGTCACTCATAGAATTATTGATATGGTAGATTATGTCAAAAATACGCTGATAGAGCATGTTAAGATGAACAGATGCTTTTAACTGCAATTAGATGAGTCTATAGATGCCTTTGATTTGACCAATTTGCTCGTTTACGTTAGATACGAGTTTGAGGGTATGTTCCATGAGGATTTTCTGTTCTGTAAGCCGCTACCAACAAGAACTACTGGGGAGCACATACTGTATTCCAGCTTCTGAATGAATTTATCGAAGAGAATGGAATCGACTGGATAAAATTCATCAGAGTTTGTACAGACAGCGGTGTAGTTGCAAGAATAAGAGGTTGCTCAAGATATGAAGTGGACACACTGCGGCATCCACCGTGAGGCCTTGGATTTAAAATCTTTTAGACTCTGTTGTGAATTGTATCAAGGCTCGACCAATGAATTGACATCTGCTGTGCTCGACTAAACAGGCTCACCCCTCTCAATGAAATGGTGCTTTTTTATTGTTTATTTTTAATTTTTGTTGTTCCTGTTGTCATTCTGTAAAGCGCTTTGAGAAGCCACCTTTAAAGGCGCTATATCAAATAAAGTTTATTATTATTATTATATTTATTATATGTGTGCGCATGCTCATGTTGGTCATTGAGATTTTCTGGGGCTCCTATGAGAAGATGACTTGTAAGTGGTACTTGGATGCTTTGGTTTGATCAGGGGTGGTACTTGGTCCAAAAAGTTTGAGAACCACTGTCCTAGAGTAATTTACAGAAAGGCTGTCCATATTTACAGCATGTTCAATGCTGTTCAATTAATTTACTGTCCTGTCTGCTATAACTGTGCTGTAATATTACAGTACAGTTGTGCTGCATTTAGAATAGTGAAAAGATATTAACAGAAAATGTGCTTTGCTAAGATTAAAAAAGAACTATACTACAGAGTAAGCTAATTCATAACTGATCTAATTAATTGGCTTTGTGACAATCCAGGGGTAGAGGTTGCCATCTTGCACATGTACATCTTGCACATCCTGCTCCCACTCCACAAGGCTACTGGCTCTCTCGCAACCAGTGTCTCAGAGTGTCTTCTGGTTCTGTTTTCCAGCACTCCCGACACTCACTCTCATGCCTTAGGCTGTGTACTTGCAGCTGTCGGACTACATCGTACCTGTGCCCGACCACCACTGCATCACTCTACACTTATGCAGCTGCTGGTGCACCTCAATCCCATGCCCAGCCACCACTGCTTACCAAACATACACAGTTCAATCTGCCGCATCACTCCACTTCATGCCATGCATTTGAAGAGTGGAAGGTCCCCCTACTACTCCCCTGCTCTCTGGACCATTCACTGCCAGAGGCCAGTAGTCCGACAGACCTTTCTTCAGACACCCAGACCCTACTGTCTTCTCAACCAACAAAGGTCTGCAGCTAGACAGACCCTACTCTTTCTCCCAATATTCCTTACTGCCAGGGGGGGGATCCCTCTACTGCACCCAACACCCAGGAACTCAAACACTAGCTTCTAACAGACTTGTACACTTTCATACAGCTGACACACAGATAGCCCTGCTCTTCTATAATATCAGGTTTCTGTCCATTTAAATCTTGTTTGTTTCTGCGGCTCGGTTTATTTCATCAGTCTTCTCCAAGAGTAACATTCTTCCTGGTCCCTTCCGCGTTTTCCTATACAATCCTCTTTGGGATTGTTGCTCCCCTTCACCCCCCCACCGGGGTTGTAGCACCTGTAAGGCAGAAGCGGTCTCCTAACCGCAGCAGCAGCGTCTCACAGCAGCTACTGTGTTACTTCAGCCAGGCTCTCTCACTGCCAAGCCTCTGCGTATGGGAGACCTAATCAACCACATCCTTTCAGGTCTCAAATCAAATCGAGTCAAAGTTTATTTATCAAATGCACAACAATTCGGCGTGCAGCAGTAGTTGCTGGCAATGAAATGTCTTTTTTCTGAGAGCTCACAAAAATCACAAAAACACAAAAATCACAAAATTGAAGTTACATTTTTGAAATTGAACTCAATGTGAGTAGAGCTGTTATGTGTCCATGGTGAATGCAATATATACATGTAGTGCATTATGCCGAATATAGTGAGAATTATGTGTCCATGTGGCCATTGCAGTTGATTTGCTAAGGAGCTACAGGTTGGCTATTTAGCAGTCTTATTGCCTGGAGGTAGAAGCTGTTCCGTAGTCTGTTGGATTTGGACCGAATGCTTTGGTACCGTTTTCCAGACTGTAGGAGGGAAAACAGTTTGTGACTGGGATGACTGGGGTCCTTGAGAATGGACCTGGCCTTCTTCAGACATCTAGCTGAGTAGATCTCCTGGATGCTTGGTAGCTCACAGCTGGTGATAAGCTGCTCTGACTTCACCACCCTCTGCAATACTTTGTGATCCCGTGCGGAGCAACTCCCATACCAGGCAGTGATGCAACCAGTCAGGATGCTCTCAATAGTGCATCTGTAGAAGTTGGCCTGGATATGTGATGGCATGCCGAACTTCTTTAGCCTGCGGAGAAAGAACAGGTGCTGCCGTGCTGTCTTGACCACGGTGTTGGTGTGGTGGGTCCAGGTTAAATCCTCTGAGATGTTAACTCCCAGGAACTTAAAGCTGCTGACCCTCTCCACTGCAGTCCCATTGATGTGAATAGGTGTGTGGTCTCCACCCTGATGTTTCCTATAGTCCACAATCATCTCCTTAGTCTTACTGATGTTCAGAGAGAGGTTGTTTTCCTGGCACCATACTGCCAGGGTTTCAACCTCCTCCCTGTATGCAGACTCCTCACCATCTGTGATCAGGCCAATGACTGTTGTATCATCCGCAAACTTGATGATGGAGTTTGAGTTATGCCTGGTGACACAGTCATGGGTAAATAAGAAGTAGAGGACAGGACTAAGCACGCAGCCTTGGGGGGCTCCAGTGTTTACAGTCAAGGTAGAGGTGCCCAGGGTTGGTGCCCACCTTCACCACCTGCGGACATTCCGTCAAGAAGTCCAGGATCCAATTACAGAGGGAGGTGTTCAATCCCAGGTCCTGGAGCTTGATTACGAGCTTTGAGGGCACTATGGTATTGAATGCTGAGCTGTTATCAACAAACAGCATTCTCACATATGTTCCTTTCTTATCCAGGTGTGAGAGGGCAGTATGGAGGGCAGTGGCAATAGCATCTTCTGTTGACCTGTTCTGGCGGTATGCAAATTGCAGTGGGTCTATGGTGTCAGGCAGTGAGGAGGTGATGTATGCTTTGACCACCCACTCGAAGCACTTCATGATAACTGATGTGAGTGCAACAGGGCGGTAGTCATTTAGGCAGCTGACTCTGGATTTTTTAGGAACAGGGACAGTGGTGGTTTTCTTAAAGCAGGAAGGAACTATAGACTGAGCTAGGGAGAGATTGAATATGTCTGAGAAGACATCTGCCAGCTGGTCTGCACATGCCTTCAGAACGCGGCCAGGGATGGCATCAGGGCCAGGAGCCTTGCGTGGATTGGTCTTTTTAAAAACTTTACACACATCCGCTCTGGATATGATCAGTGGGTTTCCCCCTTGGATTTCTGGAATCTTCCTGACTGGATCTGCGTTGCTGACCTCAAACCAAGCATAGCATGAATTCAGCTCATCAGGAAGAGAGGCGGACTGTTGTGCGATATAGCTGGGTTGCGTTTTGTAGTCTGTAATGGTGCGTATACCACTCCACATGGTCCGTGTGTTGCAGCCGTGATAATATGACTCTAGTTTTACTCTGTAGTTGTATTTAGCTCTTTTCATGGCTTTCCTGAGGTCGTATCTGGATTTTTTGTATTTACCCATATCGCCAGAATTGAAAGCAGCTGTCCTAGCTTTCAGTTTGGCGCGTATCTCACCATTTATCCACAGTTTCTGATTTGGATATGTGCGAAC